CTTCACCGCCTCCATTACAGGTCAGTACCAACCCAGTATAATCATTGCTGATTCTTTTGTTTCTTTGTGTTACAGCAAAGGAAAGCCTACCCTTTACAATCTTTTATGAAAGACTGGGACGCCTGGGCGAAGTTTGTACCCCACCACCCAGCGCTCGGCAGTTCCGGGGGCCGTATCAATGGAGGACACGAGTCGTGGGTTGCATTGAGAAAATGAGGGAATGGGTGGAAATATAGTATGGCAGAAAATAAGAGAAAATCAACCGTAGAGGAATTTTTATGAGGCTAAAAGCGACCTGCCTTCATGACTCGTAGCAAAACATTCCCTCTGACTCGTGAAGTGCTCTTTCATACTTCGCGAATGGGAAGTAGGATTGCTAGGGAACGACTGGATCGCGCAACCAGGACCCACCGACAATCGGTGGGCCGCTGCAACGGAAGAATTCAATCAAGACGTAATCATGCTTCGTATGAATGGGCGCGAATCAATCGCTTCAGCGATCCGATCACTCCAAACGATCGGATCACGAACTATGAATGCGTCCCAAGGTAACCAACATCTCAACATACGGCGTGCCCTGTTCCGAATACGATTGGCCCTGTTGAATAATCTACAGTGGAAAGCAGACATAAAAGCTATTGTCTCCTCCCCAAACGAAAGGTAGGCTACAGTAACCCGATCTCTGAAGAGCTCAAGGTTTCGGTTTCTTTTGCCTGTACTGGACTCGATCTCGACCTGGTGCCGGAGTTGCAGTCAGCGGTGGTCATTGCCACTACGTCACATCCGGAACTAGACCCTAGCAGCTGGAGAGAATATACAGAGTTCATGAGATTTAATCATTCTATAATTTGCCAAAGTATTCTCTTGCATTATCCGTTACCGTTTATTTGACTCAATCACCAGTATTATTGCTTTCCTTTTTAGATTCACCATCAAGTTCTTCGCTACCAGTGGCAGAAGATATTCTGCTTGATGTTTCATCACCATCGCCATCAAATCATGTGTCCTGCACTGACAAAATGGGCTTTGCTTACGTTGTCGATCTAGGTACGGGTATAGTGATTGCGAGTTGGAAGGCTCATTCGCTACCGTATACCGACACTGGATGTGAGGTATGCTGGCTAGGCATTGCAATGGTAGACCGGAGTTTTTTTTAAACACTGGACTTGAAGGTATGGACGTGCGCTCAAAAAGATACCACCGTATGCACAGGAGGTGAGGATGCAACCCTCAAGGTTTGGGATGCTCGTAGCCACAGCGTTGTCCAACGGTTCAGCGAATTTGAAGCTGGCGTCACCTTCAGCGACTGGCAAGACGATAACGTATGTACACAATGGCTCTGCTTTGCCTTTCCCAGACACAAATCATTTGTTTCATGTTATAAACACCTATTTCAGTTAATTCTTACTGGCAGTTACGACCAACACATCCGTTTGTTCGACATGCGTAATAGACGGGAAGCGATCAAAATTACGAAGGTGAGGGACTAGCAGTAAATTCGTAAAAGAAACCAAGAAAAAACAAATCAAAAGACGTATCAATGCAAAAAAAACGCGCCAATTCACTCGACTACGTGACTGCTTGACATTTCCGGGGTGCTAACGTATTTGGGGGGAGGGGGGGGGCTCGCGGCGAGTGATGACTCATCGGCTCTTCACTCATCGGCATACTTGAAGCGCGAATCTAGCAGATAAATTAGAATAAAACAAACAAGATTCACCGGGAACTTGCTGAGAAATCCCACAGAAGCTGAAAACAAATGTCTGAACTTTTTTAGTCAACGATAACAGTCATAACTGTCAACAACAACAGGCAGTAGTTTAGGCAAGAATCTTCCAACCCGCTACTGCTTCTTCGCATTTTTCAGCGTTAACTGTTTTAACTTTTGAATACAGCTAGGACGGTGTTTATATGTCCTAAACATGAAATTACTTCTATTTTGCCGAGGAGGGAGCAGAAGAGCCGATGAGTCATCACTCGCTGCGAGCCGCGTGCCCCCCCCCCTCCCCTATATACGCTAGCACCGGTTCCAGTGCGAAACCTGCGAAACCCTGTAGCGCAGGCAGACAGAAGGCTGCAGCTTTCAGAGTATCAAAATTCGTGGAAAAACTTTTACCGAATGTTGAAGCTGCTATTTCAAAGAGATGTGTCATTCATTATACGGGAAAAGTTAGATTGTTTGAGGTTGCTTAGGCCAAAGCGCACCATGTAGGCAGACAGAGGGCAGCAGCTTTCGCAGTATCAAAGTCGTGGAAAAACGTTCACCCTGAAGGGTGGATGTGCCATTTATTATACGAGAAAAGTTGGATTGTTTGAGTTTACTGTGGCTATAGTGCACCATGTAGGTGAGAGAGTGCAGACAAGAAGAAAACCCTACTCATAGGAGCAACTATCGCTGACGCGAAATTGCCTGGCCCCCATTATGCCTTACTACCCAGTGAACTTACAAATTCTGAGTACCAGGAAAAAGGAACTAGAAGTTCATAAAGAGAAAGTATAAAATTAATGCTTAATAAGAGCATACGAAATTTCTAACGGTTTCGGAATGTCGTCCTGTTGACGAGCTTTCAGGCCAGCACATGCTCCTGAGTGGCCCCTATCACCAGAAGCCTAGAAGTCTCTAGCTCATAAACAATAAAAGTTCAAGTGAAGTGTTTATGTTCCGATAAGTAATTTTGAACACATATAACCCCGGAACGTTTCCCTTACATTCATTTGTTTATTCTAGACGGATGGAGGAGTTTGGCATATCGAAAACTGTGAACGTGCGGGTACTCGACATCATCTCGCCTCATGCATGTACGGTGGCTGGGCCTTACTCGACCAGAATCTTGACCATAGTTAACTAAAGTGATAAAACTGCGGGAGAACAACTTCTTTATGGAATAACTTTGTTGAGTGGTAGTACTCTCGCTTATACGACGTTTAATGACTACCAGGTAAGCACTGCCGTACTGTGATGTTTTTATTATGCGACAACTATGTTCATTGTTGTATTACTGTTTTTACTTTGTAAGGAATAAATTCATTCCGCAATATTATGAAAATGACCACCATATATCACAGATAGAATGAGCACTAAAGTCATAATTCCCTAAAAAGTAGCGTGAATTCATACAAAATATATTACAATGTTATAAGACCTTTGACTTGATCTGACCCACTTTCACGACATGAGATGAATCGGTGAGAGCAGCATTTTGTGGGCTGCACGGTAATACGTATATATCCACTTTCCATGCTAAAGTCTCTATGGGGACATCTAAAGGAAAATGTCTTAGGCAAAAAATGAAAATAAGGAGTAGAGGTAAAAATATAGTTTTATAAAATGGTAAGTATATATTCCTTAGTGTATTCAGTAGCAGCCGTGAAATTTTGGCTATTAAGTACAGTCGTCATCCTCGCGCCTGATAGGAACAATCGGAGGACGCGGACGCGGGTGAATCAGCGACCGCGTCAGGAGTAGCAAACTGTCGGCGGCGCGGGGCCAGCTACTATGCGTCCTCTCACTCCCTGCGCGCTCGACACGCGCCGCATAGTACTCTGCCGCCTGCCCATTGACGGCTGGCGCGGCGATCAGCTGATTATCGACTCGACGAAGCCGATTTTTCTCCAAAAATCGTCTTATTTCGGCCGGCTTTCGAGAAGGTGTTACTTTTTTTTCTTTTCTTGATAAATTGTATTAGTGTCTTGCTTTTTTTGTTGGTTTGGTGTAATTTTTGTTGTTTTAAATGCTTTTTTCGCTATTGTTTTTGCATTTTCAGGTTTCGTCTGTTTTTTCCCCATTTCTTCCCCCCTATTTGGCTTCTTTTTCATTACTGTGTCACTGATGTGTTCCTGTCTTTGCTGAGAACACTCTCTGACACGGTTTTGAAGACTAGAGCCGCTTTTACACCCGTGTTCTTCAAGCTGCCCGTAAATAATGCCGGCTGGTGAGTATTTCAATTTATTTTTTGTTTATTCTTTTTTTGTATGATGTATTCTTCATTACTATACCATTGTTGTGTTCTGTGCTACGCGAAGAACACACTTTGGCATGGTTTTGGAGCTTATGTTTTTTTAAAATGAGCTTTTTTCATGAGTTGTGCTAGTGCCCGTTATTTAAGGCGGTCGGTGAGTGTTTCGCTTACGGAGCGCAATAGTGGTATACAAATCAGAAGTGAGTCGCCACACGTTGTGCCTCGGTAGCATAGTGGGTAGTGTTCCAGAATATAGTATACGAGGTCAAAGGTTCGAATCCTTGGTGGACGTGCTCTTTTGCATTTTTTCAGCAGTGCTCTCTGGAAGGTTCTAACACAGCCTAGCATGATCAGGAAATGCTATGAATAGGGCTTTCTTAACTGAACCATTCTCGCCTTCAAAATGCAAAAGAGCACGTCCACCAAGGATTCGAACCTTTGACCTCGTATACTATATTCTGGAACACTACCCACTATGCTACCGAGGCACAACGTGTGGCGACTCACTTCTGATTTGTATACCACTATTGCGCTCCGTAAGCGAAACACTCACCGACCGCCTTAAATAACGGGCACTAGCACAACTCATGAAAAAAGCTCATTTTAAAAAACATAAGCTCCAAAACCATGCCAAAGTGTGTTCTTCGCGTAGCACAGAACACAACAATGGTATAGTAATGAAGAATACATCATACAAAAAAGAATAAACAAAAAATAAATTGAAATACTCACCAGCCGGCATTATTTACGGGCAGCTTGAAGAACACGGGTGTAAAAGCGGCTCTAGTCTTCAAAACCGTGTCAGAGAGTGTTCTCAGCAAAGACAGGAACACATCAGTGACACAGTAATGAAAAAGAAGCCAAATAGGGGGAAGAAATGGGGAAAAAACAGACGAAACCTGAAAATGCAAAAACAATAGCGAAAAAAGCATTTAAAACAACAAAAATTACACCAAAGCAAGACACTAATACAATTTATCAAGAAAAGAAAAAAAGTAACTTACCTTCTCGAAAGCCGGCCGAAATAAGACGATTTTTGGAGAAAAATCGGCTTCGTCGAGTCGATAATCAGCTGATCGCCGCGCCAGCCGTCAATGGGCAGGCGGCAGAGTACTATGCGGCGCGTGTCGAGCGCGCAGGGAGTGAGAGGACGCAGGGTAGCTGGCCCCGCGCCGCCGACAGATTGCTACTTGTGACGCGGTCGCTGGGGCACTCGCGTCTGCGGTCCTCCGACCGCCCTAATCAGGTCGAAGGATGACGTTCATGGAATAGGTTGGGTACAGACCGAGATCAAGGGGGACATATCGACATACAGATCTACAAAGGGGCAGAAAAAAAGACACTTTTCTTCCCCGACTTCCAGGGCCATATAAGTTACACTTTATTTAAT